CGCTGCCTGACGCAGCGGAGATGTGTGGATGCAGTCAGTGACAGAGCCGCTCTGTCACACAAGCTAAACACGGTTTATACTTATAACACATCTTTTCCCTGTCAGCCTACTACATGTCTATGGAAAGCTAAGTTAATCAAATTATTATTGTGATTACCGTTTTAGGGGTCAGGAAGCAAGAACTTAATGAGGCACTTGTGGACTTCATAGTGAAAGACTTGCAGCCTTTCACTGTGGTGTCTGATCCTGGTTTCCATGCATTTGTGGCTAAATTTGATCCTACGTACATTCTCCCCTCTAGACTGGCTGTTAAAGCCATGGTGGGGAAGCGGTATGTGGAAGAAAAGGAGAAGGCCAAGGCAGAACTGTTGAGTGCTGACAGCATCATCCTCACGGCAGACATGTGTACCTCAGTGAATATGGATACATATCTTGTTGTCACATGCCATTATATAAACGAGGGTACACTCTCCACCACCCTTTTGAGGGTACGCCCTTTTCCAAAGTGTCACACAATAGAGAATATTGCCGGCATTGTTCAGGAGCTAATGGAAGAATAGGTAATACAAAACAAGGTGAGATGCTTGGTGACTAATGCAGCTCCAAATATGATTGCTACTGCAAACATTCTGCAAGTTAGGCATGCTGTCTGCCTTGCACATGCCATGAATCTTATTGTCAGAAAATCTATGGATGCTACTCCTGGCCTTGATGACATCAGATTAAGAACAAGAAAGATTGTCACATATTTTTAAAACAAGCACCACAGCAAAGGAAGGTGCAAATGGGATGCCATGTCAAGAAACTAATAATGGAGGTGGGAAATGGTACATCAGACCACAAATGACATGGCACAACAACTGGGACTAAATCTCAGCCAGATACTCACTCACTGAAAAACTGTCTGGAGCAGAGACCATGAGCATTAGTTCTCTTGCAACTCTACTGGATCCAAGGTTTAAAAGACTTGGTTTTCACAATCCAGCAAACGGTGATGCAGCCGTGCGCCACTTTAAGTCAGAGTGTGCTACCTTAATCCGACATGCACCTCAAAACGACGTACCATCAACATCATCAACACCGGCACAGCCAGAACCTGCTGCACCATTAATCACATTTGTATTTATATATTTATGTGTATGTAATTAGATGCTTTATAAATGTCCTGTAATGTTTTATTTTCAGGCATTGACCTGTGGAAGCTTCTTGATGAAGATGCCAGAAAATCTCAGAACGCTGCTGCAGATGCCATTGTGGAGATTCAGCGATATATGTCTGCTCCTCCTCTGGACAGATCACAGGACCCCTTAAGTTACTGGACAATGCAGAAATCCCTGTACCCACAGCTGTTCAACCTGGCCAAACAGTTCTTGGTGACACCAGTATCTTCTGTGCCATGTGAAAGGGTCTTCTCCAAAGCTGGGGAAGTCATCTCAAAAAAGCGAGATATGCACCCACACTTGGTTTCTATGTATGATCTAGTACATGTGTCAAAATCAAGGCCCGCGGGCCACATCCAGCCCGGCATACAATTACATCCGGCCCACGAGATCATTTTATCCTTTTTTTTTTTAATGGCCTGGCGATATGAAGTGCCGATAACACACAGACTACAAATCCCATAATGCAGTGCCAACAGCTGCCTTACCGAACGATAGGCTACCTGTGATCATTCCCGTGTCAATTACGTCAGATCAATCAAGTGTTTGTTGATATATACAACCCTAATTTCAAGTCAAAGCTAGCCCCTAACAATGGCCAAGAGAAAAGTTGATTCTGAAAACAGAGCCTTTCAAAACCGGTGGGAGGCTGAGTATAAGTTTACTGATATAAACCTGTGTGCCTTTCTTGTTGAGCTAATGTGGCTGTAATTAAGGAATATAACCTAAGATGGCACTATGAGACAAAACATCAGGACAAGCTGAAAAACGTGAATGCGGAGCAGAAGCTATAGAAGATAAAGAAGTTGAAGAGGAATCTGACATCACAGCGGACGTTTTCAGCAATGCGAAATCACACAGTGAAGCTGCTGTGAAAGCAAGTCTTATTGTGGCAGAGGAGATAGCCAAATCAGCCTGGCCATTTACCAAGGGAGAGTTTCTGAAGAGCTGCATGATGAAAGTGTCCAGACAAAAAGCAAGTGCTTGCAAATGTAAGTTAGTAGAAATACGGTTGCTAATTTTATGTTCAAGTTTATCCTGTCTGTTTTGATTCATATTTATGTTCAAAAAATGTTTAGTTTTAGTCTGTTCAATAAATTTTTATCTTGTTCGGCCCGTGACCTAAAGTGTGCTTTGAGTTTTGGCCCTCTGTGCAATTGAGTTTGACACCCCTGGTCTAAAACCATTCACTGTGGACATACTATTATTTTTGAATGAAAATGCGTTACACGTATTATATAGTATATAATATTGTCATAACATTGATTACAACCACAGCCTCATTGAACCCTGTAAATACTGGCTCAGTCCAGTGTGTAATTTGGGATGAATAATTATAAATCCATTTCATATTCTTATGAATTCTTGGAAGGAGGATTACTTAGGTGGTCAACATTTAATTTCACATACTTTATAAGGCAAGGAAGAAAAACAGACATATGTAAAATGAAGCTAATTTCAGCTTTATTTAAGTAATTTCCACATTACAACAAAACTCAGTGAACACGCACGGTGCTTCGGCGGCACCTATGCAAGGCTGTACAACAACCACTGTGCCAGCAGATGTCACCCACGTGCTCAATGAATGAAGCTTTGAGTAGTGAACCAATTTTCAATACAATGGTCCAAAAGGCAAGGCACCGGGAGTGGATGAGATCCGCCCTGAGTACCTTAAGTCTCTGGATGTTGTGGGGCTGTCTTGGTTGACACTCCTCTGCAATGTCGCATGGCAGTCGGGGACAGTGCCTCTGGACTGGCAGACCGGGGTGGTGGTCCCTCTTTTTAAGAAGGGGGACCGGAGGGTGTGTTCCAACTATAGGGGGATCATACTCCTCAGCCTCCCCAGGAAAGTTTATGCCAGGGTACTGGAGAGGAGAATTCGACCGATAGTTGAACCTCGGATTCAGGAGGAACAATGTGGTTTTTGTCCTGGCCATGGAACACTGGACTAGCACTTTACCCTCTTCAGGGTGGCGGAGGGTTCATGGGAGTTTGCCCAACCAGTCCACATGTGTTTCGTGGATCTGGAGAAGGCATTCAACCGTGTCCCTCGCAGCACCCTGTGGGGGGTGCTCCGGGAGTACGGGGTCTGGGGCCCTTTGCTAAGGGCCGTCT